AAAAAAAAAAAGAGAGAACCGCTTAAGCCCAAAAGTTTGACCAGGGGCCACAAGGGCCACAGCTTGAAACGGCATCTCAAGAAAATAAAATAAAATAAAATAAAGCCAAACGCTGTGGTGGGCGCCTATACTCCCAGCTATGTGGGAGGCTGAGGCAAGAGAATCACTTGAGCCCAAGAGTCTGAGGTTGCTGTGAGCTGTGACCCAATGACACTCTACCGGGGGCCACAAAATGAGATGCTGTCCCCCCCAAAAAAATACCTTAAAGGGGCAGTCATTATTGTGACAATTGGCAAATTTTTAATATGAACTGCTGTATAGTAGAATTATTGCATCAAGGTCAAATTTCTTGTGTGGTCACATATGGGAAAATGTCCTTTTTCTGAAGATATAGTTAGGGGTCCTCAAACTTTTTAAACACGGGGCCAGTTCACTGTCCTTCAGTTGGAGGGCCGTACTCCGGGCCCTGGAACTAGTCGGCTGCTAAGCAGGACAGGCAGCAGCAGCGAAAACACACGGCAAGCCAGATAAATGTCCTAGGCAGGCGCATGTGGCCTGTGGGCCTTAGTTTGAAGACCCCTGATAAAGATGCTAAAGAATTTAGAGATGAAGCATCATAATGCCTGAAACATACTGTCAAGCAGACAGAAAAAACAGGTAAGAATAAAATATCACCTGGGAGGCCCAGGCAGGCAGATCACCGGAGCTCACAAGTTGAGAGACCACCTTGAGCAAAAGTGAGACTCCACCTCTAAAAATAGCCCAGCGTTGTGGTGGGTACCTGTGGTCCCCCCAGCTACTTAGGAGGCTCACTTCAAGAGGATCACTTGGGCCCAAGAGTCTGAGGTTGCTGTGAGCTATGAGCCGACAGCACTCTACTGAGGGCAACAAAGTAAGACTGTGTCAAAAAAAGAAGAAAAAAAGAATTTAGCCGGGCGTTGTGGCAGGTGCCTATAGTCCCAGCTACTTGGGAGGCTGAGGCAAGAAAATCCCTGAAGCCCAAGAGTTTGAAGTTGCTGTGAGCTGTGATGCTAAAAATAAAGTGGGAATTTTATAGAGAAACACACTGTACGTAATTTTTTTGGCATTTAGATACTCTAAAGGCCTTAATCCAGCCAGAGTATGGAGGTAAGTGGGGAGATAAGATGTTCACAAATAACCAAATCCAGGTAGCCCGTACTAGGAGCTAGATGGGTAATTAAATGGGTTCCAAGAACTCAGAGGGATAAGAAATCCGTCCTGTTTGGGAATGATCAGAGAAGGCTTTATGGAAGAATTGGCATTTATTCTGGCCTCAAGGTGAAAACTGTAAACACCAGAGAGCTACTAGCCCACCTTCAAAAGAGAGCAATCTGGCCTTAATTCCAGCCTGTGGTCACTAAGAGGAAAGATGGGCCCATCTGTGGCCAGGCCTTGGCACTTTTTAAGATAACTGAAAATCTAGATTTTTTTTTTTTTTT